AATATTAATAATGATAATTACAATAATTATTATGACAATAATAATAATAACAAAAATAACAATAATAATAATAATAATATATAAAAACTTAAGAAAAATATTTTAGGGTGGATTTGCAATTTTAACACCGTTGATTAAGGATAAACTACCCAAATAACAGCAGCTTAAATTAGTTACTATATTAAAAAGAGATTAAAAAGATAATACGCAATATGGCTGACAATAAATAAACTTGCCTCACAACGGTTGCCGTGGCACAAACGTAAACACTCCATATTACAAAATTTGTAATTCGGAGTGTTTACATTATGTAAATGTTTAGATTATGTAATCACACAGTATATTATACAAGTATATATATTATCACAGTATATATATTACATTATGTATCAAAACAATATATTTAATATATTTCTGTGATTAGTCAGGTTTAATAAATAACAGTTACTGGCTTCAACCCGTATATAACTTGGCTGACATATACGGGTAATACATATACGGGTTTCGAAATGGAGGGCACAATTGTCAATTTCTTAAAAAAGTCCTTTATATCTAGAATTTACTTTTTAAAAAAAAGGTTCTTCAGATGAAAAGTGGAGGAGGGGGTATATCGTTAACCGTAAAAAGTTCTGCAATCTTGTTTTTATAAACTATGCGTTTATCTTTTTTTTTCAACTTTTATTTGAATGGTTAAACCAAAGTTTATTTGAGTAATATATATATATATATACAAATTAACAATGCAAAAAAATATGTAAACAAATATATAGTACAAAAAAAAAAACGAATGAACGAATAAGGAATACAAAAACAGTTTTAAAAGATTTTTTGTTTTTAAAAAGGTTACTTTGGCCAGCGGGGTAACACGGTTACTTAAAGGTAACACTTTGGCCACTTTTACTTTGGCCATTTTTAAAAACTTTAATTAAACATTTGTAACTTTTAAACAGTAAAGTAACGTTATACTATTTTAAATAGTAAAATGTTGCTATTTTAAATAGTAAAAACTGTTTAAAAGCTACAGATTTTTAATCAAACTTTTTAAAAATGGCCAAAGTAACCCCGCTGGCCAAAGTAACCCCGTGTTACGGTATACCAGAACGTTAAACAAATTCCAGTAATCGATGATTGATGATGAGTTAAAAAACCGTTTTGAAATTATAAGATAATCGTATTTGCAATTAATTTATGTAAAATGCCCATAAAAATGTTAAATATAATAAATATATTTGAATCCATATATGTAAATTGACATTTTAAAATGGTTGGCACTCCTAACACTTTATGTTTTTGAAACTTGTTAGTTTTTTATAAGATTTTTTTTTTTTTTTATATATATATATATTTTTCGTCATTATTAGTATAAATTTGTACAACATTTTACTATGAAATATATGATTGGAGCAAGTAAAAGACAATAGTCATATATGATAAGATCTTATATTCCTTATACATTTCATAACAGTAAAATTAAAATTTTTTTATTCTCATTTCTGTTTGTATGCATCAGTTGATCCACAAAAAATTTATAAAAAATAAAAACATTTCCCTATTGGATCTATCCAAGTAATAATTGTTGCACTGTTATAGTTGTAACGCATATAAATATATATGTGTGCATGTACATAAATGCATATAAATATGTATGCAAAAAGAAATTTAAAAATTGCATTGAAATAGATATTTAAATTTTTAATAAGAAAATAAGTGAGTTATAAGCAAAAAATAAATATATAACCTTCCTCAGGGAAAGAGTGGCACAGAGCAACAGAAAGCAAAATCAAAACCAGTTTCGTCATTTCTAAAATATAAGCACCTTAGAAATGATTCTGGTTATAATGACTTGTTCTTATCTATTACCTCTAAAGCGCACCTGTTCAAAACTAGCTCCGCCATTTTCTATTGTTGACAAGCAACTACATAAACAAATCAATGAAACGCACAAACACAGTCATCAAACATTGAACAGCTGATATTATTCCTATATAATCTAGAGATGTACATGAAACGAGTTACTTATAATGCAAAAAATTTATACTGCAAATTTTTTAAGAATTTTTTATTTTTTTTAATTTAAGAACATGACTTCATTTGAGTTTTTTCTTAAAAATTACAAATGAAATAAATTTTTACGAAAAACTTTCTACGAAAAGTTTTTCTTTTGTTTTTTGAGCTATAATTTCTTATTGATTAAGTGTGTACCTATGTTTGCTTGATAGATTAATATAAAATACAATTAAGGCTGGAAGTTAAAAATTGATGTAATAAATTTAGTTTTAATAACTTTGTTTTAATGTCCACTTTCGGCTGGAATGTTTTCCTAAAGCTCAATATTGCTTTAGCCCTTTTAGGTTTCAAAACAATCCAATACTGTCAACTAAAATATTAAATAGTATGCTAAAGTTGCGCTTTATATGTATATTTTGCGTTATTTATTTAGAACATGTATCGTTTTTTAGGATAGTGAGTTTGTAGAAGTTGCAAAAGAGTTGCGAGTATGAGAATTTCATTATTTTGTTAATGTACTAATATTAGAGAACTTGTTTAAATTTGTTTCTTAAATAATAAAATATGTTTGGTAGGATTGATCTTAACGGATTAAACGTTTCTCTAAAATATTTATACTGCAGACCTTGCCATTGAGCAAACCAGGTTATCTGAATTGGCTTATCTTTTATCTAAACAGCCAATTTAAACAAAAATCTTTTTTATTAGTAAAAAAAAAAAAAATTAATGTTGTAATAAAAAAAAACATTCTTTAAAATAAGGAAATTTAAAAAAAAATGCATATATTTCCAAAATTTCTTTTTAGCACAAGATAGGTAAGACAATTGAGAAATAAAACAAATTTTTTCCACACTTTAATAAAAACCATATTTTTACTAAATAAAACAACAATACATGTTTCGAATAATTTCTAGTTATCTTCAGTTGGATTTAAAATCTTATTTAATTTTATATACAAATATTCTATGGTAATACAATATAAATTACAACCTTTTCTATAATTGCGACAAAATACGCAATAATAAAAAAAATACAATAAAAATGATATTAAAATATTTGACAAAAGGTTAACAACTTATAAAATGGTAACTATTATGTAAAAAGAGATATCTCATAATAGTTCAACTATGTGATCGTATCTGGATTTTTCCATTCAATGAACAAACTTTCCTTAACTTTAACATCGAATTTATTAGAAGAAGAACCTTCGAAAAACAGTCATTATTATAGTTATTTAAAAAAAAATTATTGTTGGCATGGAGATGTTTGTATATGAGTAAGTTTTTGTCTATCCTGTTTTAAGTCATTCTTTTTTTAAGGTAGCAAGAACTTTTGCCTATATAAAAAAAAATATTATTGCGCATTACAAATTTATAAAAAACGAATGATATAAACTCGAATGATATCAACGAATAACAACCATATAACAACGAATGATATAAAATGATATAAAATGATATAAATATAAACTAATAATATAAAGGAAGAAGATCTTTTGATGAAAAAAATTTTTTAATTTTAAAATAAGTTAATTACAAAATAAAGGATATAGGTTTACAATGTTTTTTCATAATAGAGTTTTTCATGATAGAGTTTAAACTCTTTTTGATTTGAACAGATATATTACCAATATAAGAAAATGTAAAGTAGTTTTTTTGATAAGATAAGAATTGTAAATTTTATTTACAAGTCAAGTTGGATAAATGTTGCTTTTGAGAATGTATAAAAGATTATTTATTGTCATAGTACCGAGGTTGCTTTTGAGAATGTATAAAATTGTCATAGTACCGATGTTGCTTTTGAGAATGTATAAAAGATTATTTATTGTCTGTTGTACCGAGGTTGCAAAGTGCTGTTGTTTGGGGCAGTGTTGTTAATTGGGGCTGCTTTAAATTTAACGGAATGGGAGTGTGTAACATTTATACAGGTCGAATCAACCCAACATAGACATAAAGAGACGCTAGAGCACTGCATGGTTTCATTAGTGGACATGCTCATTGATCGAAACGACTGGTGGCTATTTCAACAAGGTTTCGCGCCTGCCCACACAACTCGTACATTAAAAACATGGGTAAAGTAGATTTATTGACCTGGCCAGCTCAATTACCAGGTTTAAATCCCATTGAATCAATTTGGGCTTGGATGGACAAAGAATTAGTCAATGTGCAAATACGATTCATAAACAGCCTAATGCAAGAACTAGAAACCATTTGGAGAAGAGTTCCAACGAAATGCAAAAAAGATGTGCTGTCTGCAAAATGCTCAGGATAGGGGAAATACTTTAAATATTATCTTAGATGTTATTTTTTTTTGCTTTAATTTTTTATATATTGCAGTTTTTTTTTATTGATATTTTTTGTTATTATGTTTGATAACGTTTTTACATATGATTTTATGTTTTAGTATCCGAGATTCAAGGTTTTTTTTAATCTTTTATTTATATTAGGGTTTCTGAACATTATTTAACAGTAACAGTAAAACAGCTGTTTTTTTAAGGAAAATCAAAAACAGTAAACTGCTGTTTTTTTATATGACTATTTTTACTGTTTTTTCATTTTTTTTAAATTAAAATTAAAGCAACATAAAAATTAACAACTTGAGGTTTTTTCTTACGTTCGCCATAACGATTAATTTATATTTCAATATAATAAATGAGTTTTAATTACATAAAGCTTCGTTCAAGTCGGAAAAAGCACACAGGCTAGTACTAAGGAATTTCTTATTTTAATGGTTCTTTTACTTATTAATTATTACTAATCTAGTAATTAAAGTTTTTTAAGAGTTTTTTAAGTTATAAATAATTTTTTATTTACCTTAACTTGAAAGTAATTGCACAGTTACCAGTTATGAAATTTTTTAACAGTGGCTGCTTATTATTCTTATTTTAACGGTGGGTAAAATGGCTGCTTATTATTCTTATTTTTACGGTGGGTAAATTACTCTTATTTTCCATTCATGTTCTTATTCTTGTCAGTCTGGACATATGTAACAAAACTGAAAAATCTAATTACAAAAGAGTTGGAAGGATAGTGTTAGCGTTATAACAAAATAATATGTTAAGGAAATTTACAACACCCCTAAAAAATCACTTAAAAAGTTAAGGACTTTGTTTAGAGCAACAGAATCAATGGGGGGCATTTGGTTCGAGCAAAATCTAGAAATAAATACATTCGCCAGTCAATAGCGCAAGATGAATTAAAATTTTCCTCTAAGGAAAGCGATGTAATGAAGCTTCTGATAAAAAGTTTTGATGGAAAAAAAAATGATTGATACCATAAAATTAAAAATAGCCATTAAAGATAAGTTTAGCATAACTATCGATTAGGTTACTACTATAAAAGGACGAAGATATTTTGTTTATTTTCCTGATAAACCTGACAATATCACATCAATATATCTAATAACTATTTTATGCTTATTAGTAACACTAAATATATTATCAAATTAAAAAAAAAATGTTTAATCTATAAAATGGTAAATAATAATGTAATATTTCATAAAGTTTTTTTTTAATTTTGCCCACCCCCTGTGCGTTAGTCAAAACTATGATAACACAAAATTTGTCTCAATTTCAAATAAATATTTTAAATAATTTCAAATCTTTATGAAACATTATAATAATTACCATTTACATTTACTTATATTTTAATCAAATTAATTTTTTTTATTTTAACATTTTTACTTTTAATTCATTTTTATTATAATTTACAGAGCTTTCATCGATAGCAGTTATATTTTATAAAAATATAAAATTTACTGCAAATAACAATGCTGTATCAACGTTTTTACAAATAATTCAATAATAATTCAATATCGTTTTCACTATACCTCTTGAAGATATTAACCAATGAGATTTTAGAATGATATTCTAAGGAGTTATAATGAAAACAACACATTCTTAATATATATAAAAACATTGTAATAAAGCAAATGTGTTGTATGTTGATTTGTTTGAATGATTTAGCTAGTTTAGTTATTGTATGATTCACGAGTAAAACAGGCAAACATGGCGAATAAAAATAGAAGGTCAACCAGAACATAACTAGATAATATACAGCTACTGATATTTTTTTCAAATCATGTCTTAAGCCCTTCAATATTTCATGAACTGTATTAGCAAGGTAACAAATTATATCTTTAAATATAGATGTTATGCTATGTAAGTACCATAAGCGCAGCAGAAAATAAATACTATAAAAACTTTGTTGATTACAATAGTATGATAATATAGTAATTTAATAGTACTACGATAACTTGCTATAGTAACATAACCTATTATAGTCAGTTAGTTAATCAAATAAACAACCGCAAGATTTTAGAAAACCATAAAAATAAAAAACAAGAAAATATCATTTAGCAATTAGCAAAATTTACATGACTTTCTACAATACAACTTCATAGTTTTTTCTTCGCTTACGCAATATCCCGCTTGTTCCCACTGATGACAATATGCAGCCTCTCTATCATTTATATCTTCACACAAACTTGAGTCTAAAAAAAATTGCATTTTTGATGCTTTGCTGACAAATAGTATTTACAATCAATGTGTATTTACAACAGTATTTACAATCAATAGTATTTACAAACAATTTCTTATTAGTGTTACGTTAAAATATGAAAGAAACATTAGAAATAAGAACATTTAAACAAGTTTTAAGAACATTTGAAATAATTAATAAAAAAAATCATTTTGTACCGTTCAAGAAACTGTCAGAAGTTTCAATTTTTGTTGGACAAATTCCTTCTGTTATGCTTATATCGTCAATAGCAATATCACCTAGCCCTCCATTACCAACTATAGCTTCAAAAATAATCTGAAAAAAGAGTCAAATAAAATTAATTACATTTAGCTTTTTTTTATATTTTAAATTACATTTATTTACTAATTTAATTTAAATAAAAAAATATTTTAAACTTCATTTATTTTTTATATTATATGTCGCATTTTTACATGGAGAAAATTGGTTACTGGTAAGAAAAAATATTATTTCCGAGTAATAAAAATTATTATTACTGAATAACAAAATTATTATTACCGAATAAAAAAAATTATGATTATCGAGTAATAAAAATTATGATTACCTGGTAAGGACCTTCGGGTTTAATATCAATTAATAAGTTTTTCCAATCATTATTTGGCTCACTTTTTGATTGAGAAAAGATATTTTTTATTGTTATTGTATCATCAATATAAATATTAAATTCACCAATCATTGAAGCATTTTGAGAATACATGCTGTAAAAAACAGAGAAACATTGTGCAGATAATGGTTTTTCGAACCATTTTGTTTTAAGACGAGCTTTATCATTTTTTTTTTGTGGAGGGGATGCTTCAATATATAAATAGATCCCTAAACAAATATAAATTGAAAGGGTGAAATGCCAAAAAATAAATATATATGCCAAAAACAAAACATTCATATATATACTCAGTGAAATCTATATATTCATGAATGTATCATATATATATATATATATATATATATATATATATATATATATATATATATATATATATATATATATATATATATATATATATATATATATATATATATATATATATATATATATATACGGTTTTTTTCTTCCAGATACCCGGAATCAGGGACTCAGCATATACTGCTTTTATATATATATAAATATATATATATATATATATATATATATATATATATATATATATATATATATAATATACATATATATACTATATATATATAATATATATATATATATATATATATATATATATATATATATATATATATATATATATATATATATATATATATATATATATATATATATATATATATAAATATATATATATATTTATATATATATATATATTTATATACATGGCCTACATAAATATAGAGCCTTCTATTCTGCTTAAATAGAAAAAAAAAGTAGAAGGCTGCTTTTAAAAGCATATATTCTGTCGGATGGACAAACTTTCTTAAAATATTTTAATTACTGCACACACTTAAATTTTGAATGAAAGTGAATTAAATTTTGTTTAATTAACTGTGGCTTCTTTTTAGTAATAAACAATTATTATGGCAAATAAATGCTCTGTTATTGGTTATACCTCTTTTTATATTTGTTGTGAAGCAGTCACAGTTTTTTTTTTTTTTTTAATTTGATTTGCAAAAGACTTTTTCTGATTAACCTATCTTATATATGGGTTACACAAATTCATATTTTAGATATGGGTCAGTAATTTATATATTTGTCATAATAATGATTTGTCAGTAGTTTTGCAACTTTTAAGGACTTTACAAGAAATAAAAATAAACAAATTCTCAAAAAAAATTTTAAAAGTGTTTAATTTAAAAAAAAACCCACACAAACTGATTAAAAATGTGAAACAAAATATTTTTATTTTTCTCACTTTTATTTTATATATTTTACAATGTTATCTGCAAAAATGGAATAACTAACACTCTTTCTGGTGTTATAAAAACAAATATTTGTAATAACAATATAAATAGTTTCCACAATTTTAAAGATTTGAATATAAAAATGGTTGGTAACCTTCTCTACTGCAAAGAACTAACTTCATTGATTAACATCAAATACATGAACTAACAAAAACTGTTTGCATGAAACATTATTAGTGACATCATACTGAAGTAACCAAATGCCAATATAGCTAAAAAGATTTCTTTTCAAAAAATCTTTTCAAGCCACAGGCTTGAGAAGATTTTTTGAAAAGAAATCTTTTTCAGTACATACATTAAAAGAAAATTTTTTATTTGGACAACCATTATCTAAATATAAAAGACATTTAAATGTCTATGAAGGACAAAAATTTCTTTTTATTATTTAAATCTTTTCATTTTTCTTATATAGAGGTCTAAAAGTTTTTTTTTAAACATTTTACTAAACACAAATACAATATCAAGGTATTTATACATTCATATGCTTCTGATATAAGTGGCACTGCCACAGCCACAGGCTGTGATCAAACCAAACAACACTGGTACTACAACATGATAGCATTGCATTAAACTGAACTATCCCAACTTGAAGTTAGCATTTAAAAAATTAAAGCATACCAAATATGTTAGTACAAAAACAAACACACAAAAACGTTTAAATATTATCTACCTAGTCTTCCAGTAGTATGATCAGTATCAGGTCCAGTTCCTCTAGAAGGTGTTTTACCATAAATTTGAGCCCATTCAAAATCTGCTGTTTTATCATGAGTAAATCCACACAAATCAGTTTCAAAATCACAAGTATAATCACCTAAAATTCAAATCATTAGTTCAACTTCATTTATTTTATTCCAACAACAACAAATATACTCAACATAAAATAAATTTTTAAGTTAATAAATCATAAATAATAAACTTTAAAAAAAACTTTTCTAAAGAAAAAAAGAAAAAGAAAAAAGCATTCTAGCAAACTTTTTTAACCTTTTAGATCATATCTTGGAAAAACAGTTGTTGGACGAGTTGTTTTATCTATTAAATAAATCAAATTTCTATGAAGCAACTTAAGAAACTTTATGTAATCTTAAGAGTTGTTATTAAATGTGTCAATCATTTATTCATTTACTAATTGATCTAACTGTACCTTGACATCGATAAAGCTGCATCACTTGATATTGATCATGCTCTGTAAATCCAACTCTTTGACCAAGCTGGAAAATACCAGGAAGTTTAGGATCTAATGTTACAGAGCCATTAATTCCAAATGCAGTTTTTGAATATTGCATATAACTTCTATAATCATATGGTGAGTTAAGACTGTCAACTAAGGAGTTGGAGTACAATCTGAAGTTATGCTTCTTAGCTAAAAATAACTATTTTAGTAGAAAAAAAAATCAAAATTGAAAAAAATAATAAAACAAAAAAGATTTATATTAAAAATGCACATTACAGCAAAGATATATTACCTTCAGGAATGTTTTCCCATCGAATATTAACATACTGATCTCTATCTGGACGATTTTGCTCATGTCCAAACCCCATAGCATGACCTATAAAATATTTTAATTTATTATTTTAAATTCTCTTTATAAATAAAACATTCCAATATATATATATATATATATATATATATATATATATATATATATATATATATATATATATATATATATATATATATATATATATATATATATATATATATATATATATATATATATATATATATATATATATATATATATATATATATATATATATATATATATTTATATAAATATTTATATATATATATATATATATATATATATATATATATATATATATATATATAATATATATATATATATATATATATATATATATATATATATATATATATATATATATATATATATATATATACAGGCTTTGTTAAGAAGCATTTCCCTATTTGAATTTTATGTACGCATTCACAATTTTACGTACGCATTTTGCAATTTACGTTACGCAAAAACTTTTTTCAATAAGTTTATTTTAAACAGTCTTTTAAAACAGATTATGCTGAAAACATTAAACTATAATTAATTGTTGTAAAAAACATTAGTGGAATATTTTTTTAATTAGATAAAAAACAAATAGATATCATTTTTCTACTTTCTGTTTTTAAAAAAAATATGTTTTTAATTTATTTTATTAAATTTAAACTAATTTTATTATTATCCATAGTTTTAGTAATTGATTTGATTAAATTTAATTAAAATCCTTTTAAAAATTTCAAAATGCTTTGTTTTACAATTTTTTTTTTACTGATAAAAATTTCTAAAATTTATGTTAAAGTAAAAAAAAAGTTAATAAATTTAATTCAAGTTTCTTTAAAATGTTCGCATTACATATAACTTCATTTTAATTTCAGTTAAGTTTCAAATAGTTCCAGTTCCAAAGGGACAACAGAATAAGAGCGAATTTCATAAGTGCGAATGGCATAAGCGCGAACTGGCATAAGTGCAAACTGACATAAGTGAATCAGTTACAAAAACTGGCACAAGTGCGAACTGACATAAATGCGAATTGGCATAAGTGAGAACTGGCATAACTGCGATTTGGCAAAAATGCGCCAAATAAATTTGCAAACATTGGCTTAAGTGCGAACTGGCTTAAGTGCGAATGGGCATAAGTGCAAAATACTAATTTGCATATATGCCAATATTTGAAATTTTATTCGGCGCACATATGCCTACTCACACTTATACCAGTTTGTACTTATGCCAGTTTTTGTTTTTGCTTTGTACTTATGCCAGTTTGCATTTATGCCAATATTTGCAAATTTATTCAGCGCACTTATGCCAATTCGCACATATGCTAGTTTTTGCAATGCTTCACACTTATACCAATTCATGCTTATGCAGCCTCCCCGTTCCAAATACTGGCGCTTTTATAAATTTATAAATGATATCAATACAAAAAAAAAATTCAAGTTTAAGTGTTATGTTTGGGTTTTCCCTTTGCCATTAAATTTTATGTAAAAGAATTTTTTTTCTAAAACGAACCAAACTTTACACAGATTAAAAATAACGCAATCAATAAATAAACTCTTTAAAAGCCTAACTTATATTTATTTTATTAAAAAAAAAAATACTTGTGCTATAAATATAAAATAAGTAAATTTCAAAATTATACTGATATTTGTTAAAAAGAAAATCTGGTAATAAAATCTTAAAACCGAAATACTATTTTTCTTTTTGGATTTAGTAAGATATAGTAAAAATACGTTAGGTTTCACGGTACATAAAAATAAAATATTTTAATGGAAATAAAAAAAAAAAACAAAGCCGAAAAATAATTTTTGTTTAATTACAACTTTTATTTTATGGAAAGCCAGTTAGCGCAAAGGTTATTTTAAAAAGGAGAAAACCTAATTTAATTGTGTACACTTAAATCCTTTTAAGAAAATCAACCATAAACAAGAGTCCCCTCATTTAAAAAAAAAACAACCATGAAAATAATTTTTTAAAGAAAAAAAATTAAGTTTAAATAAGTATAAGACTTTAAAATAAGGAAATTTTTTTTTAATGAACATTTAAAAATTAATTTATAACTTTTTTTATAACAATATTATTTAATTTAAAGATATAATTTTAAATTTAAATTTTTTAAACATTTAAAAAACTACAACAATTTCTTATGCATTTTTGAATTTAATTACAATAAATTACAACTAAACCTCTATTTTAAAACACATAACTGGCGCAATTAAACTTTTTAACAAGTAAATATTTTCATTTAATAAAGTTACATTTATTCATGTTGCGTTTTTCCGTTACGCAACAAAATCTCATAACAAGGCCTATATATGTATATATATATATATATATATATATATATATATATATATATATATATATATATATATATATATATATATATATATATATATATATATATATATATATATATATACATATATATATATATATATATATATATATATATATATATATATATATATATATATATATATATATATACATATATACATATATATATATATACACTCCTAGTCGGCGTTTATGGGGACATGTTTTTTTATTCCCATAACATATTTTTTTAACTTTTTTTTACTATTTTTATCACATTTATATAATTTTTAAAATTTTTATTTTTTATTTTTATTTACAATTATTTAAATTTATTATAAAATTATATTTATTTTTGTTATTTTTATTTATTTATTATATACCATTTCTTTATTTTTCATTTATTTACAAAAAAGATTAATTACAGTAATATAACCATATTAAAACCTTGTAGTAACCCTAACCCTAAGCCTGGCCTTGATGCTGACCCAAATCAAACCCTCAGTCGATGTAGCAACACTTCGTCGCAGGTCAGGCTATTTGATAGTCGATGTGTGTACTTTTTGCTCTCTATAAAAGTTGCTTACTGGGTCATTAAAAAAAAAAAAAATGTTTACGGGGAAAAAAAATGAACGGGTACACAAAAATGTCCCTGATAATGCTAATGTTCCCGCAAGTATTCGTTTTTTTTGTAAAATCTGTCCCCGTAAGTGATAGGTGTATATATATATATATATATAAATACATATGTATATAAATACATATATAAATACATATATATATATATACATATATATATATATATATATATATATATATATATATATATATATATATATATATATATATATATATATATATATATATATATATATATATATATATATATATATATAGAAAGACCCAAAGAAATGACATGCAGGGAAAAATAGGCAAAAGTCCAGAATGTAAAGAGAAAAAAAGGCCTATGTCACAAACAACAAATCCTAGAAAGGTCATGTGACTAGCTTCAGTTAATCCACAACCTCCATTTTATCAACAAAGCTCCATTACTCAAAATGGTGGATAAAGACACTCCATGCATTACAACTAAGCCAAAAAAACGTTGATCATCTGGCAGAAAAAAAGATCAGTTGAAGAAAGTACGTAATTCAAGTCATCAGGAGAAAGACTGTAAGTGCAAACAATTTAAATGTTTTGAGGCCACAACAAGAGAAGAGAGAGACCGCCTCATTACTGCTTTTAATGAGCTTCAAAATAAAGATGATCAAGACACCTTTCTGTCTACACAAATTGGTGTGCTAAATGTTGCAAGAAAAAGACCAAAAACAGATGGCACAGATCCAAAACCAAAAGACAAATCCTACAGTTAAATGATCAAGGTTCAACGGGATGACAAAGTTGAAGAAGTAGATGTCTGTGTCATGGGATTTATTAGCATTTTTGGAATCAGTTAAAAGCGAGTTAGAACAATACAGACAGCACTGAAAGAAACTGGTAAGCAATCTAGATTATTATTATTATTATTATTATTATTATTATTATATTGTCAATTATGTTGTTGTTTTTCTCATTGTGATTAAAATCATGTTTATTATTATTATTTTTAGTAGTAGTAGTAGTAGTAGTAGTAGTAGTAGTAGTAGTAGTAGTAGTAGTAGTAGTAGTAGTAGTAGTAGTAGTAGTAGTAGTAGTAGTAGGACTGACAGGCTATTCTTATAATAGCCTATGCTTACACAACTTGATGGTGAATCTAGGCACCGCAAGATAAAAATAAAGCACACAATGGTTAGGAGAATTTTAGTGGAGTTTTACTAATCCCTAATAAATTTCTGTTAGCACTAACGCTAATCCCTAACTATTTGTAATGGATTAGCGAAAGTTAGTTATGCTAACAGCAGCTAATCCTCACAACCCAAAATAGTAGTATGCTATTGTTAGTGCTTTTTGTAGTTTTACTGTTGTTGTTGTTCTAAGATTTTTGTCTGTGGTCTCACAATTATGGTACTGTGTGTTCCTTACAGAATTTCCACCAAAAGACAAGCGAGGGAAGCACAGCAACCATGCTCGAAAGCTGACAGCAGATATGAGAGAGATTGCTTATATTGGCTTTTTTAAGGGGCGTTCATTTCACTACTCACGCAAAAAGTCTAGTCGCCTCTACCTGCCAGAAACACTCAACATTACGAAAATGTTTAATAATGTTTTTAAATGTTTTTCTGTGAGCAGCATCCTGGTGTTACCCTTTCATATGAGTCCTACAGAACCATATTCAACAAGAACTTTAATATTTCATTCAGGTACCCTGGTCTGACACCTGTTCTGCCTGTGATGAGTTTCAAGAAAAAATTAGCAGCATTCTCTCGCAATCACCTTTGATTTTCAGAAGGAGTTGCCTGTACCAAACAAGACCAACAACGATGTATTTTATCGACGCCAGCTGTCTCTGCACTCATTTAACATTCACGAGCTTGAAGGGGATAATGTGTACATCTACACATATGATGAAACAGTTGGTAAATGTGGATCAGACATCAGGCTTCAATCCTGATCAGGCTTCAATCCTGTATCATTTCATTCAACATAGTGTTCCACAGAATGTGAGGAATATTGAAATGTTTTGTGATGGTTGTGCCGGCCAAAACAAAAACTGGACAGTTTTTAGGTTCTTGTATGCTCTTGTGCATCTTTGGAAAAGGTTTGACAAAGTGAAA